CATTTATTCATTGTATATATTACTATATGCAACCCTTTCAATATAATATGAATATTTTTTGATACAGTTGTAAATTACAAGTGCCACCAAATTAGAGAATATATAGATCCAATGGAACGTAACGACCGCATTTTTTTTCATCTTCCGTGATTTTACATTAGTTAAATTAAAAAAACTAGGTTTCCATGCTCATAGATATATATATACACACACCACTGTATGCGAATGATGCCAATACAGCATTCCTTATTCTGCGTTATTATTATTATTATTATTATTTATTGGGAAAACCCTAAAAATTCCTGAATCTGCAAAGTGCGAGAAAAAAAATTTCTAAACTTGTGAAGTTGCCAAATAATTCCTAAACTTGCAAAAAGTGTCTCAATAAAACCTAATCTTGTTAAAAAGTGATATATTAATCCTTCGAAAAAACTGATTATAATAATATAATTTTATGTTCTACGTGGCAGGTGACGCCAAGTCTGAATTTTTGGCCACGTAATCAGTACTGGGTTTTAGAAAATCGGTTTTTTCAGAATCGCCGGCGATTCTGTTATGAGAAATCGCGATGGTTTCGCCTGAGACTGCGGCGGCGGAGGTGGGTTTTCTTCCAGCGTGGTTCTTGGCATGCTCTCGACGACGGGGAAGAAGTAATCGAAATAAGGTTGCTGATGCTGGTGTTGTAATTGCGACGGCGGTGTCGATGTTCTTGTCTCCAGCAGATCTACAGACGGCGGCGGCGGGAGAGGAGTCTCCTGGGTTTTCTCCATCCTCTGATCTCTGCTACTCCCTCCCCAACTGCTCGATTTCCTCACTAACACCTCTCACGATTCTCCAATTTAGAGTCCTCATCCTCGTCATCTAGGGCTCCATCCTCCTCAATTATCGTACCGTCTAACCTACCACCCGACAGACCACCAGATCTCGCCTTGACGTCCGGCATGGTCACAACCCTTTGAAGAGGAAGCAGCGACGGCAGAGGAGGAGGGGGAAGCATGTCGGGAACCGGCTGAAGGATCCCGGTAGTGGAAGAGGAAGCGATAGTGGCGGCAGCAGAGGTGGAGGCCGAGGGAGGGGAAACAATATAATTGCAAATTCAGAAATTTTTAGATGTTTTTCTTTTTTCTAAAACTCGGTACTGATTACGTGACAAAAAAAAAATCACACTTGGCGTGCCATGTCACCTGCCATATAGGACATAAAATTATATTATTATAATCAATTTTTTCGAATGACTAATATGACACTTTTTAATAAGATTAAAATTTATTGAGATACTTTTTGTAAGTTTAGGAATTATTTGACATCTTTACAAGTTCAAAAAAAATTTTTCTCGCACTTTGCAAGTTCAGAAATTTTTAGAGGTTTTTCCTTATTTATTTATAACAAAAAAAAGGAATTGTCCAAACTGAAGAAGTAACAGGTGGAGCAGTTTCAAAGATTTTTGGGCTCCCTTTGGGGTTCGGTTCGGGCTTATCTGTCACCGTTGACTGAGCTACGAGCGCCGACTAGAGTTTGACTTTGACTTTTCTCTCTCTGTCGGTTTCTTTCAAAATCTTCACGAGATCTTACTCATATGCTCCGTTCCTAACGCCGTTTTCTTGGCCACTTTCGTCCTCGGACAAGTGAAACATATCAATCAAGATCTTTATCACAGCGAGAAGAAAGAAACCAATGCCCATTTACATACATACATACATACATACATGTATGTATGTATGTATGTATAGTCAACTTTGATTATCCATACAAGGGCAAAATATTTAATGAAAGTATACGTGTCTACGTGGCACTATCTAATAGGAGCAAACAGCATATTACGGGGGTCGACGGAGAACTCGTGTTGACGTTAAAACCACACCTTCTTTATTTTATTTCATTTATATGTAAAGCCTATACCTTCTCGCTCTTATCAGATCAGAATCACTACAAGTTGTGATCTGATATATCCAAGTCATGTGAGTTCATCTTGTCCCTGCACTGATTGAGATTCGGCGAATGGTTCTATTTCATGTGTATACGTATATAAAATTATTATATATATATATATACACACATGCATATTTGAGTGTGTAAATTAATAACAAGAAGAGCGACTTGTCAAATGGTCTGATTGTATTTGAAGTTTTTCACGTTTCATATTATATATATATATATATATATATATATTGTTAACTAGATTTATTGGATGTTCCTCGTGGCGGAACTTTTTGGCCCGATTATACCATATTATACAATAAAATTTGGAAGCTTTATCGAGAGAGAGAGTTACGAATCCACAATTGATAATGGTCGGTCACAATTTAAGCGGAAGTGGAAAATGGTTGGTATTTTTTTGTGTACTTCAATTTGAATATCTTTTTCTCCTCCTCTCATGACATTCTCACTTTGGTTATTATATAATTTTGGATGCATATGATCGACTCTGGATAAAATAATAATGATACAATTATACGTATATATATATATATATATTAGATAATAGACGGTTCTCTTTTCCATGTTTCGTGAAATATTTATTGGTAATTAAAGTACAAAGATATGAATATTCAAACTCGTGTTCTTGGCATTCGTTAAAACTCAATAGTCCCACCGATTAAATCGGTATTCTTACATTATTATTATGCATTTTTGAAATTCAACAACGAAATATATTACATTCGAGTGTGTATACACACTCGCGTGTACATATACATATATATATTGGATTGGATAGGGAACGGACACTTGGTGATCAACTTGTTTGCAGTTGAATAAGATCACTTTTTAGTAATTACTAGAAACTATAAACAGCATTGGATTCTTTGCTGCACATCACCTTATATTTACCACTTGAACCATATATATACGTATATATACCACATACGTAATATTATAATGGAATAATCAAAATATAAAGTAGTAGAAAAATAAATTACAAAATAAAAAAATAAGCTTAGAGATCATTTTTAAAATAAATAAATAAATAATTGATTTTTTTTTCCTGTGGGTTCTCTGCTGACTCGTTATTCTTCTACGTGAAGAAATGAGATATGGACTCTCATCATACAAAAAAAAGCGCATGGAAACACAGCCGTCTATTAGACTAAAGGTCTTCGACTCACAAATAACCGTTTTTAATAAATCAAAATTTAAATCAAAACGAAAAGTATCAAAAAGATATTTCCAACTTATTATTCAAACAATATTACATTATATCTTTTAATATTTTAAGTACTTATTATTACTATTATTTATTATAAAACTTGAATATATATATATATATTAATATTCAAAAGAACAATGCTGATTGCGCATATATATATATATATATATATATATATATATATTTAGAACAAAATTTAGAATGTTAAAAATATATGACAGAGAGTTTGGACATGAGATATAGAAATCTGATTATTATTATTATTATTATTATTATTATTATTGGGTCAACAAAGCTTGACTAATTGAGTGGAGGATTTGATTCCTCTATCGTCGCCTTGGATTTACTTGCATCCTTCTCCATTAAACAAAGCCATTACCAAAGCTAATGTCTTTTATAAAAAAAAAAAAATTATGTCCACAAATGGGCTTTATGTCCGATCAGGATTTCAAACACCAAACCAAAAGTAATTACAAGTTGCATGTCTTTGCTTCCGCGTATAATTATTTATAAATTCTATAGTTTGAAAGACAATATAGATTCCTTAATTGGATACAATTTTGTTTATCTTTTTTCCTCTTTCCTCTTAGTTTTTGTCTATGTGGTATATATAAAATTGATGGAATTTCTATTTTTGTCGAATATATGTGAGATATCGATGAGATTACAAAATGGGGATTTATTCAATTTTAAAAATATTATAATCTTATTGGAGAATAATTTATGAGATGATTTTACGTTTGTGGTTGCTTTTGGAACCCAATTTTATATCAACTTGCATATTAAGTTAAGGAAATGAGCATTACTCACCAGTCTTTATTCCACCACTAAATTACTGCTGGCTTTAGAAATTCTTGGTATTCATATCATCTTTAATCTTTATTGCCCAAAAACAAAACACAAAGAAATTGTAAAGGAAAGGAAAAGGAAGAAATATAAAAATATAATAAAAGAAGATTTGCAAATATTAAGTCATTTTCTAATATTAAAAGGGGGCCCAATTCCCTTTCCCCTCCACCAATTGGACCCTTCTCTCCTCTCAATTTAATCCCACAAATGCCCTTCTCACCACAAACGCATCCGCTTATATCCCTCAAACCTAATATTTTCTCTCTCTCAAAACTCCATAGAGAGAGAGAGAGAGAATGGTGGGTTCTTCAAGCTTCTTGCATCTTTCTCGCTCTACATTTTTTTTAATCTGTATCTTACATCATTTCTTTCAATCAAGAAATCAAAGAGAAGGAAAAGAAGGATGAATCATTTGAGAGTGAAGATATATACATGTTTCCTTTTTCTAGAGATATATTATATAAGTCCGTATGTATAAAGTCTTGTGCTTTTTGGGTTTTCCATTTTTCAGGAAGTGGAAGAAGAACAAAGAGAGCTCGAGACATGGAAAGGCTACGCCGACTGGAGGAACAGAGCCGCCGTGAAGGGCCGTCACGGCGGCATGATCGCCGCCTCCTTTGTCTTGGGTCGGTGTCAAAATTACGAATTTACCCCTCACCCCGCCTTTTTTTTTTCCCTTTCTTCTCCGGTGAATCATGTGATTAATTAATTAAATTATTTTTCTTATAGAAAATGATATATTTATTTTTTTATTTTTTGGTGTGTGTAGTGGTGGAGATATTGGAGAATCTGGCGTATCTGGCGAATGCGAGCAATTTGGTGATGTACATGAAAGAGTACATGCACTTGTCGCCGTCGAGATCGGCGAATGACGTCACCAATTTCATGGGGACTTCCTTCCTCCTCGCCCTCCTCGGCGGCTTTTTCTCCGACGCCTTCTTCTCCTCCTCCTTCATCTTCCTCCTCTCCGCCTCCATCGAGCTCCTGGTAACTTACATCTCTCTCTCTCTCTCTCTCTCTCTCTCTCCAACCATTATATATATATATATATATATATAATAATGTTTTATTGGTTATATATAGCTCATATGCGGTAATCTATTTACATAACGAAGACACTCTTAGCGGTCGAAAGTTAATTAGTTTTATCACTTGCATAAGTGTTCAATTAATCTCCCTCTAGTTCTGCTTACCTTCATGATAATAATTAATGATGATGATAAATAATATACAATAGGGTTTGTTTGAGAATATCATGCATGCATTACATACGAAAAATCTGGAAATATTTTTAGTTGAATTTTATACGTGATGATTATATGTGGAAAGACAACAACTAGGAAAAAAAAATTAACCCATCGTATAAGTAGTAATTAATTATATTAACCTAGGCATATGCCAAATGTGTATATAGCTCTTCTGCTTTCTAGTTATTTAACGCCCTCATAATGTTTTGGTCATTTTTGTTGACTTAATGTCTCGACCGGCCACCAAATAATAAATTCGTTCACACTCCGATTAGGGGATCCATCGGATTCATATATATAAAAGAATATAAAATATATTTTAAAAAAGTATTTTATTTAAAAATACATTAAAAGATACAAATTCTTCTGACCATAGTAACTAAAAGCATAAAATATTCTTTAAATTATATCTGGTTGCAAATTCAACGAACCATGCATGCATTTGGATGCTAATATGCATAACTAAAAAAGGATCAACAAAGATTGCGTGCCTAATACGGTACACTCTCTGTGTGTGTATATATATATACACACATATATATATATATATAGGTTATACTCACGAGTCAGATTTTTCATACGCCACGTACGTATTAGAACCGTATTTGGGAAATATTATTGGGTTTAGAATCACTTTCAAGGGATAAAAAGGGAAATCTAACTTCATGGATTTCAGTAACAAAGTCATAACACACATAGGGGGGCCCTGTTATCTTGATTTAGCTCGACAGAATCTTGTCTTTTATGTTTCATAGGGTATGAAATTGTGTAGAATTTGACACTTGTAAGCTCCAAACTCTGCCACGTAGGTACAAAAAGGACAAAAAGACATAAAGAGAAACGTGTAATTTATTAAATGCTATGCTATGCATGAATATGGCCTGTCCCATCCACGTTTTGGATTATTTTTATAAAAAAAAATAGTCATATCACCACCGGTTATAATCGTATTTGCACATGCAATGTATAAACTCTAAAATGCATGGATTAGAGAATTTGGATTACGCATTGACCGAATACGTACCATTAATAACATGAAAATTAGTCTTAAAAAAAATCAATCACATCAGTTAGCCAAAATATAATATAAGGTGTTATGTTATATATGTAAAAAAAAACGTTTATTATGCAACGGTTGAGGAAAATAAGCCAATGAGAAGAGCACACGAAGGATTTGTTTGTCGAGACATCAAATGCATAACGACGTTTCATCGTTTTTAACGGTTTCTGTTTTTGTCCCTTTGGGTTGGGCCTGGACACTAGACCAGACCTTGGCCCCTCGTGCTTCTCACGTGACTTTGGGCCCATCTTTCTTCAATTCCCCCAAATTATGCCACGTGTCTATTTGTTTATTTGTTCTGCAACAAAAGATTATTTTTTTTTTGAAATGCTTCAAAACAATTCGAACAAGTGCATGTATTTTATCCTTTTTTTTTTCACTGATACATAGTTGACTATTTGGCATACGATTCTCCTTCTCTTTATAAGAAAGTATACGAATACGATTCTTCACTCTCGACACTTCATATTGTAATGCAAGTTCTATGGTTTCAGTTAATATATAGAAAGACAGTAGATATTGATATTTCAGATTTTTTTTTTATAATCCGGAAGTCTACCGAGTTTTTTGTCCGACTACATCTTCCAGAGAATCGGAAAAATCTATGTGAATGCCTCTTTCCAAGGTAAGACTCGAATTCGGGTTGAAAAAAAGTTTTATTTCATTCCTTACCGGTTGATTATGATTTTTCCTATAGTGAATTACATTATGATTTTTCAGAAATAAAACTTGGATTTTTCAGAAATTATTTTAGACCTATATTATGATTTTTCCTATAGTGAATTACATTATTCATATAAGTTTTTGTGAATCCCTAAACTGTTTTAATTATAAATTATTCTAATAGATACATTTTTTTCTTTACGAGAAAATACGTAAGGAATATAAATTAAATATTTTTTTTGGTAATGGGTAATCCAAACACGGGATTCCAACTCGAACGGACCAAACACAAAGTACTCCGTTCATCGATTCAATTAATCAGGTTTGGATAATACAGGTTAAACGTTATACATATTACAATGAGTTCTTTACAAATTTTTACCATTTTGCCACTGGTCTGATGGGCTTGAGCCATGCGATTTAACAGGGACTAATCCTGCTCACAGTTCAAGCTCGCACTCCATCGCTAATGCCACCATCGTGCCAAGGAACCGCCGAGCCATGCGAGCCGGTGGGTGGGCTAAAGGCGGCGACTCTGTTCGTAGGGCTGTACCTAGTGGCTCTTGGCGTCGGTGGAATCAAAGGGTCGTTGCCTTCTCACGGAGCGGAGCAGTTCGACGAGACCGCGCCAAAGGGTCGAAGACAGAGGTCGACATTCTTCAACTACTTCGTGTTCTGCCTGTCGTGCGGTGCTCTGGTGGCTGTCACGTTAGTGGTGTGGCTCGAAGACAACAAGGGATGGGAATGGGGGTTTGGTGTCTCCACCATTTCAATCTTTGTCTCCATTCTTGTATTTCTCTCCGGTTCGAGATTTTACAGGAACAAGATCCCTTTTGGAAGCCCTCTCACCACCATCTTGAAGGTACATACATTTGATTTTATTTTAAATAAAAATTATATGTCGGAATTCAAACCCTGAACATCTAACTTCATGTCTGATCAAGAATATATGATTTACATGAACAGATAAAAGTGTAGAGGTACGAATTTTTTCCCCGAAAAATGATCTTATGGATCAATAAGTCGCTTTGCACTTACATGGTTGAACAATTTATTTATTATCGTTAAATTGATTTCATAATTAATTACTAAACGGTTTATTTAAAATAATTAAATTTATCTAAAGGGCTAAAAAAAATAATATGTACAGGCCCATTTTTTTTTGAGATGATTCTGCCAGTAAATAATAGTCTAACGTTACAAAAATCCAGATTTTAAACTATTTTCAACAACATATATGTATAGAAACGTCATCATGCATGCATACGTAGATTCGTATAAACGTTTATTGTTTCGGAGCAGGTTCTATGTGCTGCTGCTGTGAACACTTGCACGAGTAAAAGTTCAAGCAACGCCATTGTTAACTTGGCCGTGAGCCCTTCCAACCACTGCGTCTCGAAGGGGAAAGACCAATCTGAAGAAGAGATCGAGAAGACGAATCGTCATCGTCATCTAGAAGCTTCTCCAGTTCTAATTACCAACAGCTTGAGATGTCTGAACAGAGCCGCAGAAGAGAAACCGGTCCACACATCGCTAGAATGCACGGTCGAGCAGGTCGAGGACGTGAAGATTGTGCTTAAAATGCTTCCGATATTCGCATGCACCATAATGCTCAACTGTTGCTTAGCTCAACTATCCACTTTCTCGGTCCAACAAGCCGCGACCATGAACACTAAGCTCGGGAAACTAAAGGTGCCTCCCGCTTCTCTCCCGGTCTTCCCTGTCGTGTTCATCATGATTCTTGCACCGGTCTATGACCATCTAATCATTCCCTTTGCTCGGAGAGTGACCAAATCTGAAATGGGTGTCACTCATTTGCAACGTATCGGTATCGGTTTAGTCCTTTCGATCTTGGCCATGGCCGTGGCTGCAGTGGTCGAGATTAAACGAAAGAGAGTGGCCACAGACATGGGATTGCTTGGCTCGCAAGAAACCTTACCCATCTCATTCCTCTGGGTCGCCTTTCAATATCTGTTTCTGGGTTCGGCCGATCTGTTCACGTTAGCCGGTTTGCTAGAGTTTTTCTTCACAGAGGCGCCTTCCTCGATGAGATCTTTGGCGACATCTCTCTCTTGGGCATCGTTGGCAATGGGGTACTATCTAAGTTCGGTTGTCGTTTCAGTAGTGAATAGCGTGAGTGGCCGATCAAGGCACGAGCCATGGCTCGAGGGCGAAAGCCTAAACCATTACAAACTCGATAGGTTCTATTGGCTCATGTGCGTTCTAAGCGCGGCTAACTTCTTGCATTACCTCTTCTGGGCGATGCGTTACAAGTACAGATCAACAGGGGTTATAAGCTGATGTCATTCAGAAATGACATTTGCCTAATTAAACCGGAATACTTTTTGATTATATATATTCATCAATGGTTCGATATGATCGTGATATAGTTTTGATCAGAATGTTGTACTACTCCTCCAAGGAAGGAAGATTTTGTACTCAAAAGGGGGAATAGATGCATATAGCATCATTTTGGACAAGCAATGTTTTGATATTCATTTTCTTGCATAGAAATAGAAAATGTATTTAATCATAAAATCTATAACAAATCGGGGATGTAGCTCAGATGGTAGAGCGCTCGCTTAGCATGCGAGAGGTACGGGGATCGATACCCCGCATCTCCATTTCCGATAGATTTTTAAATAACACAAAACTCCTTGCCGTTTGTGACGGGTGATCGAGCACTGCTTGTAGTTTTATTGTGCTGAAAACGTGCCCATTTTTTTCATTGCAGCTTTGACTTCTTTTGTTTGTTTTTCCCGAATACGTTATGTAAACTAAAATAAGGTTGGTTTAGATTACCGTCGTTATTTATACATTTACATGCAAGCATCTACATACACAACACTGACAATGCTTTATATATATATATATATATATATATATATATATATATATAAATAACACAAGCAATGGATAAAACTACAGATGTTACAGTCTCGTGAAATCTTCTTACAAAAGCCCATTTCACAAACATTACATTTATTTTTTCTTATAATTAAGAGTTTGATATAGGCTCATTCACGAGTTGGGCACGCAAAATACGACTATATATATATATATAAGAGACATGTGATATTGTACTTGGAACCGATCGAGCACAAATGGTCCGAAATTAGGCGTGTATATATATAGTTTTAGACAATATGATCGACCGTGAAACGTGTGCTTTCCATAACGTTGTTGGCGCTTTCCAACTCAAAACCTTCACGTCTGTGCAACTCTTTGATCTGCAATTTGATCAATTAATTCCTTCACGTGGGTTGATTTCTTTAGAGCTCTTTATATTCATATGCATACATATATATATGTATGGAGAAATCATTGGTCTATTCATTCTTTGAAACTAACGGTAAGAAAATTTAAGTTAGGAGTGTTACCTCGTCTCCTGGCACATCTTTGTATTGTGGCAAAACGAGACGTTCAGTGAACTCGATGTACGAAGCAGGGATCGACTCAGTCACCCCGTCCGCAAATTCTACCTCAAGTCTTTCCGAAATCGACGAGATTTGCAGTAAAAGACTGTCCTCACTCACTAGAATTTAAAAAGAGTATCGAGATTATGTACCGATATATATATATATTATCAGTGAAAATATTGTTTTGATTTGGTACCAATGCAGCATTTGTAAACGATGTTATTTTGGTTAGATGAGGAAATTGAAATAAGAAGATATGATTTTCAACATACCTTTTACAATCCCTCCTTCCTTGTTCAGTTTGAACCCTTTTCCCTGGAGAAAATCTTTGACGCTTTGGATGTTGCCGAGACCGTTTTTCATCCGATGAACCGCGAACGCAAGGTGGTTCATCGTGTATCCGTGGACAAGCGTCCAAGCCGCAATTTCGCTTTCCCTTGATTTCACGCAAACACACATATGAGAAAGCGCCTCCATATATATACACATACATATACACACATCGTCATGTATACACAATCAAGACGCTTATATATATCGGATATCGCCAAAATGTACTAATTATTAAAATATCGAAACTGAAGATTTACTTGGCAAGTTGCTTGAAATCGGTCGATGTTGGCTTCTCCCACATTAAAGATCCGAGTGTACTTGAAAGAACGGCTTGCTTACCACCACCCGGTTTCAGATACTTCCTTATTATCTCCTTAATTATCACCCGGAAAAAAACCAATCATATATATATATATATAGAATGTGAATTTGAAATGTTGTTACACCTGTGATGTAGGACTTAGTTCGTCCACGAGGACCTCGGCGATGACAAGTCGGGGCAAGGGGCCATTGTCGAGGCCGTGACCGTCGACGGGGACATGAACTTGCGGCGGAGAAAACCACAGTACACGTAATTTTTTCTCCGGAAAATCCATTCCACCTCCTACTTTGTATCCATATTCCATGAAAAAACTTGATAACGAATCAATTCCATAACCATCGACCTACACCGCCGAGCAATACAAAAAAAATGTATAATTATAGATCATAATATGAGAGAAACATGGGAAGATATTGAGAGAGAGAGAGTTTTAATCTTTTGAAAACTGTTAGTATTTGTGGCTCAAATTATGTTTAGAAGACTTTGCATGTATTTTATATTATATGGTTTATGTGTATTAGTTGGTTTATGTTACGTATTGCAGTTTTATGGAAGTTTTAAATGTAGTTTAATGTTTTAGTGGGTGAGTAACTGTTTGCACAGTTACATTTCGTGTCTTATATGTATATGTACATTATGTTGCAGAAAAATTACAAAGGGTTGCAGTTTGTTTATTATTGTTCTCTTTGTCTTTTATATGTGAGTATTTTTGTGTATTCAAAGGAAAGAGTGAGGTGTTAGGCTAACTCTTTGAGAGGAATTCACAATATCTAACAGTGGTATCAGAGCGGGGTTGATCTTTCGGGATCTGTGAGTGTTTTTTTAAAAAAGTGAAAACGAAATGGATCAAAATGTTGGTGCTGGGGTAACTCTCCCCGTTCCGGTGTTTGATGGTGAGAATTACCAAGTCTGGGTTGTGAAGATGAAAGCGTTTTTGAAGGGTTCGGATCTGTGGGAAGCCGTAGAAGAGGACTATGAAGTTACTCCGTTGGGTGCTAATCCTACAGCGAATCAAATAAAGTTGTACAAGGAGAGAATGGCGAGTAAAGCAAAGGCCATGTCTTGCATCTTCTCGGCAGTGTCGCCGTCGATCTTCACGAAGATCATGGGGTTGGAGTCTGCCAAAGAGATGTGGGATTTCTTGAAGAAGGAGTATGAAGGGGACGAAAAAATCAACGGAATGAAAGTCATGAATTTGTTGCGAGAGTTCGAGCGACAACAAATGAAGGGAAGCGAGTCAGTAAAAGATTATGTCGATCGTCTTGTCGATATAATCAACAAGGTAAGAATTCTTGGCACTAAAGTTGAAGATGTTAAGATTGTGCAGAAAATTCTAGTTTCTATACCGGAAAAGTTTGAAGCAACGGTGGCATCTTTGGAAAACACTAAAGATATGTCAAAAATCAAGCTCTCAGAAATTCTTAATGCCCTTCAAGCACAAGAACAAAGGAGGCTTATGCGAAAGGAAGATTCAGTGGAAGGTGCTTTAATAGCAAAAGAAAGAATTTTTGGTGAGCAATCCATTGAACCGTGCAAACATTGTGGTAAGAAAGGTCATCCGTATTGGAGATGTTGGAAAAGACCCGATGTTAAATGCAGGAAATGCGGTAAAATGAGACATGTTGAGAAGATTTGCAAAGAAAAGAACACAGAGAATGTTGAAGTTGAAGCAAATATGGTTGAAGGAAAAGAAGAGGAACAACTCTTTTGATTGATCTATTATTGGTGTTTCTGAAGGATTTTGAGCCAAGGAGGAGTGTTAGTATTTGTGGCTCAAATTATGTTTAGAAGACTTTGCATGTATTTTATATTATATGGTTTATGTGTATTAGTTGGTTTTATGTTACGTATTGTTGTGTTTGTTTTATAAGAAAAAAACTAACAGTGGTATCAGAGCATTTTGAGATCTTTTTGGGCTTGTGGTGAGAGTTGTCTGAGATTTTTATGGAAGTTTTAAATGTAGTTTAATGTTTTAGTGGGTGAGTAACTGTTTGCACAGTTACATTTCGTGTCTTATATGTATATGTACATTATGTTGCAGAAAAATTACAAAGGGTTGCAGTTTGTTTATTATTGTTCTCTTTGTCTTTTATATGTGAGTATTTTTGTGTATTCAAACGAAAGAGTGAGGTGTTAGGCTAACTCTTTGAGAGGAATTCACAATATCTAACAAAAACCTTCTATCTATTTTTTTTAATAATCTGAAAGTTTATCAAGTTTTTGACCCAACTCCATGAATCGATAATGAATCAATTCCATAATCATCGACCTACTACCAAACAATACAAAAAAAAAATATAAATGGACGTTCTCAGATATTTTTTATTTTTGGATAACTAAGAAGTTCACCAGACTTTCTACCCGATTATATCTCTCACGGCCGGAATCAGCTGTGTACCGCAATTAAATTGCACACCTTCTACCTAACCCGTGGCTCGATCTCAGATATTACTCTATTCGAATTCAGATTTCGAGGTAAGTCCAATGGAAAGAACAGACACTACATTTGATCTTAGCCAAAAAGGCCGAGAGAGATATATATATATCCAATGGAAAGAAGAGTAACGAAAAGTACGAATAGGGTCCTGAAAGTGAAGTGGTCGTAGAAGATCCTGTCGTCGCCATCGGAGCGGACAAGTTCCCATATTGCATGAACCGTAGGGTTCTTCCTCAGATACGTATTCAGTATTCCCCCGAACACATCCCGCAGAAACGTCTCACTTCCCTGTCGCCATATATATATAAAAATTCTTGCTAAATAATAAATAATTAAACCAACACACTGGAATCTGTGTTTAATATCATCATCGTATATATATATGTATACATGCAAAAAAAAAATCATATTGTGATTTGTGGAGAAGAAATCATCGATTACCTGAAACGACGAGTTCTGAGATCCTTTGTCCGAGACGCCGAGAGAACCCATTGTCGGCAGATCTTTGCAACACTCTGTGTCTGAAGATATGATGTTTGGATTTCTTTATGTATAATATGTAATGTCTCTATATATTATATAATATATATTTTGTGTGTGTGTGTGTGTGTATTGTTGTTCCCGAGATAATATCTATAATACTTCCAAAAAAATAATAAATATATTATTTTGTGGAGCAGGTACCGCCTCGGTCTTATGATTGAGTAATTGGGCTGAATCATTGTATCCATGATTTAAGACTGCCTACCTAACTCCACATCAATTTTTTGTTTTTTAATGTTAATTTGTCTTATTAATGCAAAGAAACGGTCATGAAAAACACGTTGGACATATTCATATAGATTGGGCTCAGTGGTTAGTCCAATAAAGCCCATAGTTGGCGATTTAAATTGTGGATCCAATTATAGTAGGAGTCCAGTAACATTTTTTTAAAATACAACTATATATTGTATATCTATCTTTACGTTTTAAAATTTATAATAAAATTCGAATTTAAAACAAGAAAACAAATTCTTTATTTTAATATATATTTATATATCATCCATATATACATACTAATTTATTTTTCATATTATATTATATAACTCCACCAGATGAGATCATTATAAATTTTGGGAATTTTTATATCAAATCAAAGGATAAAACAAAGTCTTTATTTTACACAACACTGTTATATATATATATATATATATTGCGTTACAAAAATTTAAATAAACAAAATTTTATAAATTTTCCATCTTAATCTTATCTTCTATAATCACAATGAGGTATGAAAACCACATTTAAATACGTACTTGTGTCTGAATTTTTTTTTCAAGTGTTGAAAAATAAAATAATGGCATCACGAGTCCGAGTTGAGTTCGACTCGGGCGTCTCCGAGTTTCAACAAAAGAATCATTTTTCCCCATCGAAACGACAACGGAGTGGCGCACATTAGCACACGACGTCGTTTTGAGCACCAAACACACCGCCACCGCTTTCTCTCGTTCTGTTTCGTGTTAATATCCGACTTGCCCAGAAAGGGAGGACTGAAGATTCCTCTGAGAAACGCAGTTTTCGATTTGGGTAATTCCTCAAGGTACGAACCTTCGCTGCAATTTCCTTGAAATTTCCTTGTTTTTGATATTTTCTGGTATTGAATCGTGTATGTGCATATATATATATATATATGCGGAGAGGTTCCTGGGTTTATTGGCTCTCATTCTTCTTTCTGTTCTCTTGGAATTCTGAAATCGATTGGTATCGCTTTTTCTCTTCTTTGTATCTACCTTGATCGACATAGTTGTTCTTGTAATGATCGTGTTCCATTTTCGAACGTGCCATTAAGGTCCGAGTAATGGAATCTCGTTGTGAAAATTCGTGATTAGGGTTTGATTTTTCGGGGACGGGTTGAGATTTTTCTTCCCGGGTGGGGCTTTGTTCGAGAAGAAGAATTCTGAAAAAACTGATCCTGGGCTGGGTTCTCGGTGCTTGGTTTGAATTTAGCTTCTGATCAAAACCCTTTTTTGATTGCTCACAATTTCTGTGGATAGCTTATAGCAAGCAAACCATGTTTTAGGATATATTTTTTTTGGTTTTCAAGGGAAAATTGGTGGTCTTAAATTATTTTCTCAGCGTCAACTTAATCTTATCCATCTGGGGTTTTTTTAATGAATTATTGACCAAAAGGTTGAACCTGTCTTTGACTATGCGCATGGTCTTAGACTCTGTGGGCAGAATCAGACAATCCCCTTGTTTCTTTCTTTTTGTTTGCCCTTGTAATCTGGACTTAGGTTCTGTTGTATAACCATCTTTAGGTGATTTCTTCTTTGTCCTTTACTCGGGGGCCTGCGGTTGAGCGAGATAGACTATCTGTATGTATCAGTTCTTTCACTTTTGTTCCCTTCTGCTCTGTTGATACCCAGCCTTGTTAATGTTATACTCGACGATCTTGATCTGTACTAACATGATATGATCGAGTTATGAAGCCTGTTTTCGTTTTGCTTGGTGAAATCAGGAAAATGGGTCAAGCTTTTGGGTGTATCCAAGTGGACCAGTCGAAGGTTGCAATCAAAGAGACTTTCGGGAAATATGACGAGGTTCTTGAGCCCGGTTGCCATTGTTTGCCGTGGTGCTTGGGAAGCCAGGTGGCCGGCTACCTCTCCTTACGTGTTCAGCAGCTCGACGTCCGCTGCGAGACAAAAACCAAGGTTGTCTTCTTACCCTTCTGCTGTTTATTTTTCAGAATAGATATGTAGTTCCTTTCATTGAGTTTTACAGTTTGGTTCATGGAAATTGTTCAGGATAATGTTTTTGTCACGGTGGTTGCTTCCATTCAATACCGAGCCTTAGCTGACAAGGCCCAAGACGCCTTTTACAAGCTCAGCAACACAAGGGCTCAGATTCAGGCTTACGTTTTCGACGGTATGAGTCCATAACCTTTACCTCCCAACCTTTTCTTCTCTTTTTTTTTTTGCCAAGAACTGATCCAAGTTGAAGTCTTGTGTAGTCATCCGGGCAAGTGTTCCTAGGCTGGACTTGGATTCAACCTTTGAGCAGAAAAACGATATTGCAAAGGCTGTTGAGAGTGAACTCGAAAAGGTACCACCTTGAGCAGATTTCTGAAATTTTACATACAATAACACGAGTTCTAGCTGAATCATGTGGCTATGTGGGTTATATAGGCTATGTCGCATTATGGCTACGAGATAGTTCAGACACTGATAGTGGATATCGAGCCAGACGTGCATGTGAAGAGAGCCATGAATGAGATAAATGCCGGTATTAACGCTTATATTCACTGCCTCAATGGATCCGATATTTGTATCTGTTTCTCGAATTCTCTAACCAGTTTGACAATGGGGACTCTCTCTCTCTCTCAGCTGCTAGACTGAGAGTGGCAGCGAATGAGAAAGCGGAGGCAGAGAAGATACTGCAGATAAAGAAAGCGGAAGGAGAGGCAGAGTCGAAGTACCTTGCGGGATTGGGCATAGCCCGACAGAGACAAGCCATAGTGGACGGTCTGAGGAACAGCGTTCTCGCCTTCTCTGAGAAGGTTCCAGGGACATCTTCAAAGGATGTCATGGACATGGTTCTGGTCACTCAGTACTTTGACACGTTGAAAGAGATAGGGGCATCTTCCAAATCCAACTCGGTCTTCATCCCCCATGGTCCAGGAGCCGTCAAAGACATTGCTTCGCAGGTTAGGGAAGGTCTTCTGCAAGCAAGTTCTTCTGCGTAAAAAAAAAAACAACTCAAAAGTACAGTTGCAGTTACAGTTAGAGTACTTGTTCATGGTAGACTTGTTTTGTGTTTGGTTTATAACTCTGAAGCTGCTTGTTTGTTAACCGGACCGGGATTTGGTCGTTCTTCCGAGTTCCGGTCTGGTTTTTCTACGTAAATGTTATTTGTTTGGTATTATTTGCTGAAACATTCTGGGTTTAAATATATTTTCATGAAATCAATGCATGGTACGCGGTGTTCTTGCAAATTTATTTGTTTTTGTTATAAACTGCATGTATAATTATCAAAGGAATTTATTTTGGTATTTGATATTTTAAATCTCTTCTACTTGCGTCACAAACGACGTCGTTACATGCGTCACTGGCACCATGTGAGACAGGAAAAAGGGACTTTCTAACGTGAAAATGGATGTATTACTTGAAATATTTAATTCTTTTTTTTTCTTTTGGTACATAATTTTCTCATTTTCCCACACATTTAAACACTTAAAACAATAGCCTTAATTAGAAGTTATATATATATATATATATATATATATATATATATATAATGCCCTTAATTATAACATTGTGTTTGTTTAGTAATGCAGTTTTTATGGGTATCAATGCACATGTTGCTGTGTGGCATTGTGTTTCAATTTGCTAATTGATTTCTATTTATAATCACACCTATATGTATATGTGTGCAAATATGTGTAAACAAAAATAAGCAAAGGTGAGTGTGAATGTCGGTGTCTGTGTGTCAATGTGCCCATTGTGGGCAAGCACATTATGTCTACGGCTATATGTAGGTGTATTCATATATATATATATATATGTATGTATGTATGTATGTATGTAAAGATCGTTATAAATATATTTGGAGCACTACTATATTGTACCACAAAAATTTCTTGTCTCTCCACACGAGTGATTGAGTCATGACTCGTCCACTCGCCGCTGGTCTCCCTCCGTCCTCCGCCGCCGCCGTAACCACGGTGGCACCTATCCCTCCTGCTCCACCGGCCGTGGAAATTCCCCTCGAAGCCAGATTGATGGTATGGCTATTCATCATCATTCTCGCTTTGTGCCTTTATTGCCGCTTCGCCGTTAAAGGAGCTCTTGATAATTCCGTTTCCGCCCATTCTACGGCTTTACCTCCGACCATTCCGTCACCACGGACCGGACTCTCTTCCTTGTCCGAGACACTCAGTTCGTATGAATGTGTCATCTGTCTCGAGGATTTGGCCGACCGGGACGAGGTTTTTAAGATAACGGTGTTAGGATGTGGTCACGGATTTCATGCGGTGTGCCTCGACAAGTGGTTCCGGAGCAAGCTTTCGTGCCCTTCTTGCCGCCGAGTCCCTCTCTCTGATAAGTCCGAAGAATCCGGCGGAGAAAAGGCGTGTAGATATAACTCCGGCGCCGGAGATTGAGCAAGTACTAATGACGGTCCAAAAACCATTATATGTGTGGAATTTAAGTACGTATGTGGCTTATAATCCACGTAAGAAATTTTATTCGCAAAACGATTTATCTTTTGTATGAATAATGACCTCATTCTTCATCCACTGACTCAAACGTTGGTTGATAAATAAATATAATGCTAAACCTCTCACATTTCAAATAACTATATGCCTTATAACAATATAAATATATATATGACATCTGTACCGTACCGTTATTTATCCATAGCACACATGAAAAACAATTGTGTATATAGTACGTATACTTTTTTATGTGTATTGTGTATTTGAAAAATTGTTCTAAATATTGATGTATTAGCAGTGATCAAGAAGCTGGTGTTACTAATAATTAATAAAACATGATATAATTCAAGTTCTTCTGCCATTTTTTCCCTTCTCTTTCTAATCAATCTCTTTTTTTTTTCTTTTGATGACGGATGATGCTACCCTTCGAACGCGTTGACTAGGTAGGAGCAGCCTTTGTATATGGACCGTATAGACCTAGAAATTTCCTTTTTCTCCACCATCCAGGAATCGAACACTCAACTTCAAGGTAAAATGATTTTCTAATCAATCTTGATAACTCAAGAACGTCTACCGAGATTATACTAATTTACAATAGGCTAATTCAGATATTCGTTCAATCATTTGTTGATATATGAGTTCTGACCATTCTTTCATATAAAAAATAGCGCAATTATAATATAATAACGAATATGAAAATGTGATTATAATAGCCAATGGTATATACATAGCTGTATATTGTTTCCAGATAGCTATGATTTTATATATATATATATATATATATATCAGTATATATATATCGTACGTACTTATGATCATGTATGGTGGGTTCAATGTCTCGTGGTATCAGTCTATTACGCACGTGGATGACGATCAAATGCTCATCATGCAAGGTTGAAAACAGCTAATATTCCTCTACGTACGGGTGTGAGAGTGAGTGTGATGAATGCAGATGTGATTTTATATATATATATATATATATATATATATATATATATATATATTATATAGGAAGATGAATATGACAAAATGCATTTAGGCTAATTAATGATTGATTAGCGTAAACGGGTTCGGATTAATAATTATGTTAATGGAGGAATTAAGTGTATATGGTGGAGAATACCATGGACTGATAACATTACCATATTTGGTTAAAGGTTATGATACTAAATGCCCAACCACTAGTAATCAATGCTATTTAATTGACATTTTACCATTCAAATTCTGAAAAACATTCCATATCCGCACATATGCATATTATCTTACATTATTTGTTTTTGTTTTTTACCCGCACCATTAACTTTTTGGACCGCACTGATGCTCCATTTCACAATGCAAGGTTAAAATTCTATAAATGTACAATGTTTTCATGAGGATCTTTAAGTAAAAAAAAAAATTTATGAATTTCACCCAAACCACAGTCTTTAAGACTTCCCCACAACCTTCTTCAGTTCAAGTCTTCAACTCTCTCTCAACATGAGTCGTGCTCTCCCAAGCCTCGGCGCCTTACCGGCGGCCGGAGCTCGTCCAAACTGGTGGATATCATTCGGAGGCTTCGTGACGGTTTTTATAGTGACCTTACTCGTGATTATGGCGTTCATCCTCGTCCTCATCATCGGCTGTTGCTTGCCTTGCCTTGGCCTTCTGCTCCGATTCAGAGTCATGGCTCCGAATCGTTCGAACACGGCCTCCTCGAAGAAGGAGATCAGTCTCGGACCTCTGCCGACATTCGTTTTCTCGTCCACTACTGCCGGAGAAGTGTCGGAGGGGGAATGCGTTTTCGCTGTTTCACAGAAGAACAATTTTTCCAGAAAACTTTACGGAGAGAGAGAACTTGAAGATAACTTTCAGTATATTCTCAATAATCTTTCTTACTTGTAAAGCGTTCTATACATTCTCTTATATACAACTTGCTCAAGAGGTAAAGTTGCCCTATACAGTGGTCCCAACATAAAGGCTAAAAAGTACATCCTAGTATAGATCAAAAACGCCCTTGCACTTGTACGTAGTATGAAGCAGAGATGTGTCGAGTAATATCCTGGCAACAAGTGCAGAGGTGGTTATATGGCAGATAAGATTTTTTAAGAACAGATGATGGTAATCGGTTTATAATATAAATGGATGTCTGTACACAATCGCCCCAATAATCAAGGGGTATATTCGATTGAAAAAGGAGGGCTCGGGCGACATTTAGTATGTGTTGGTGTTTCCGTTCAACAACGGAATTTTGCTGGGGGGTGTATGGACATGAAAAGAAATGAGTGATGCCCTTTTTGGAGAGAAGGGCTTTAAAAGAAAGCTCAGGGGCGTGGTCGGATCTTATTCCTTTCACTTTTGTATGAAACTGATTTTCAACATAAGCAAGAAAGTCTGGAAAAATGGATAGAACATCACTCTTCGAACGTAATAAGTAAAGCCATGTAAGCCGAGAGCAATCATCAACTATAGTCATAAAATATTTGTACCCATCGATCGTGGACACATGAAAAGGGCCCCAAGTATCAATGTGCAGTAAATCAAAAGGGTTTAAAGACAAATTGCCACCAAAAGGAAAAGACAGTCGTTTCTGCTTTGCTAAGGGACATATACTGCAATCAGAATGTGCAGATTTTGAAGGAAGAAAAGACAACTGATCAGAAGTACTAGAGTCTTGAACTTTAAAACACACAATAACCAGTAACGGATCGGCGTGTATCCGGACAGGAACCCCAATCGGCATCAGAATAGGCTTTAAGTGTCATGGAAGAAGAAGCAGAGTAAAAAAGTCCTTGGGAAGGGGAGGATTTAAGATATCGCAGAACTCGAAAAGCAGCATGGAGATGAGGAGTTCTGGGCTGAGACATGAACTGGCTCAGATTCTGCACAACAAAACAGATGTCAGGTCTAGTAACTGAGAGATAAATCAGCTTCCCCACCAATTGACGATAGTATGATGCATCAGCCAAGAGATTTCCTGAACTCTGAGACAGTTTCGCCTTTGTTTCCATTGGAGTAATAACAGGTTTTGACCCAAGCAGACCATAATCCTCAAGAAGCTCCAATGTATACTTTCTCTGGCATAAATGTATACCAGATGCAGAACGAGAAATTTCGATTCCCAAGAAGAAACGCGGAGGACCAAGATCCTTGAGCTGGAAGTGATCTCGTAACAGAGACTTTGTAGAATCGAGCATGACAGAATCATTCCCAGCAATTAGCAAATCATCCACATATATTAGAACAATTGTGATGCGTCGATCAACATATCGCACAAACACTGATGTATCTGCGGCAGATTGTTTGAAACCAGAATTCAAGAGAGTGGAAGATAGTTTAATATTCCACTGCCGAGAGGCCTGTTTCAAGCCATAGAGAGACTTGCGAAGTTTGCAGACATAATTATCAGGAACTATCTCCCCCGTAAGTGCAGTATATCCAGGTGGAATGGTCATGTATATTTCTTCGGAAAGGTCACCATTGAGAAATGCATTGGACACATCAAGCTGACAAAGCAACCAACTCTGTGACGCTGCCAAAGCCAGTACAATTCGGACGCTAGTGAGCTTCGCAACAGGACTGAAAGTGTCCAAGTAATCCAGACCCTCAACTTGTGTGTATCCCTTGGCTACCAATCGCGCTTTGTGGCGTTCAACAGAACCATCAGCATTAAACTTGGTTTTGTACACCCATTTACATCCAACTGGGTGTTTGGTAGCAGGCAAGGAACAGAGCTCCCAAGTGTTGGCACGAGACAATGCCTCAAGCTCAACTTTCATGGCATCACACCATGTTTCAGACTTGGATGCTTGGAGATAAGTTCTGGGTTCTTTAGTGGTGAGAATGGATAAGGCAAAGAATCTATAAGATGGTGTAAGTTTGGCATAAGATAAAACATCTGAAAGTGGATAAAAGGTAGTGCCTGTTTTTGGTGGAGGTTTGTTATGCTGAAAATAATAGCAGTGATAATCAGAGAGGTACCCTGGGAGTTTGGTTTCCCGCTGTGATCTACGACCGTTCCTAGCATATTCAACTACTTGTAAAGGAGGAGGAGAAAAGGGAGGTGAAAGCGAAGAGGAGGAATTAGAGGCTGAAGAAACAGGAACAGGGGTGGAAGAAACAGGTTCGGGCATATCAGTGGGATGTAAAACAGAATCAGTGAGTGGTGGCGAGGGAGTAGAAACAACAATGGATTGTTTAACAGAGGATGAAGAATCTGGAAAAACAGAGGTAGGAGCAGAACGACTATCATCATACAATAAAAAAGGGGATGGAGAAGAAGGAAAGAAATCAAGAGTGACAGAAGGAATTGTAGGAGTTTGAAATGGAAAGACATTTTCATGAAAAATGACGTTACGAGAAACAGTGATGGCATTTGTCTCAAGGTTGAGAACCTTGTACCCTTTGATCCCAGGAGGATACCCAAGAAATATAGATGGTGATGCTCTCGGAGAGAATTTATGGCGATCTTTAGAAAGGGTTGACACAAAACAAAGACAACCAAAGGTTCTCATATGGGCATATTTCGGTTTGGTCTTGGTTAAGACTTCAAAGGGTGTTTTTTTTTTAAGAACAGATGATGGTAATCGGTTTATAATATAAATGGATGTCTGTACACAATCGCCCCAATAATCAAGGGGTATATTCGATTGAAAAAGGAGGGCTCGGGCGACATTTAGTATGTGTTGGTGTTTCCGTTCAACAACGGAATTTTGCTGGGGGGTGTATGGACATGAAAAGAAATGAGTGATGCCCTTTTTGGAGAGAAGGGCTTTAAAAGAAAGCTCAGGGGCGTGGTCGGATCTTATTCCTTTCACTTTTGTATGAAACTGATTTTCAACATAAGCAAGAAAGTCTGGAAAAATGGATAGAACATCACTCTTCGAACGTAATAAGTAAAGCCATGTAAGCCGAGAGCAATCATCAACTATAGTCATAAAATATTTGTACCCATCGATCGTGGACACATGAAAAGGGCCCCAAGTATCAATGTGCAGTAAATCAAAAGGGTTTAAAGACAAATTGCCACCAAAAGGAAAAGACAGTCGTTTCTGCTTTGCTAAGGGACATATACTGCAATCAGAATGTGCAGATTTTGAAGGAAGAAAAGACAACTGATCAGAAGTACTAGAGTCTTGAACTTTAAAACTTGAAGGGTGCCCCAATCGCCGATGCCAAAGATCAACAGTGGGGTTTGAAAGAGCTGTACACAAAAGCTGGGAGATGGAGTGAAGATTTTGAGTGATGGATGTTGGCTGGTAGATGTAAAGATTGTGTATCAGCTCACCTCTCCCAATCATCAAGCCCTGCAAAGGGTCCTGAATGATGCAACCAGAATGAGAGAAAACAACTGAATAAGAGGTGTTACATGTCAAGGAACTAACACTTAAAAGGTTAAAACGAAAGGACGGAATGTATAAGACAGAACGTAAAATCAGCAAAGGAGAGAGTTTAACAGTTCCAGATTGAAAAACAGGGAGTAAGGTACCATTGGGGAGAGTAACAGAAATGGGAGAAATAGTTTGGATATGCAAGAACAGACCTAAATCACAGCAAACATGGGAACTGGCACCAGTGTCCAATATCCAAGGGGTATGAGGGTGAGATGAAATGGGTGTAGGTTGAATAACAGATAAAATATGGGTGGGGGGATAAGAAGAAGGATGTATACCTGGATTGGGTGCATAGGATGGTTCAGCAACCGAGTCCGAAACAGGAGGCGAGCTACCAATAAGTTTGAGTTGAGATTGAATAGTGTCAAACAGAGCCTGAACCTTAGCCATCGAGCTCTCAGAGATAACAGATGCCTCAGGTGTTGGCAAAATAGGACCTGTCTCAGAAGACAACATATTCAGTGGAGTTGATGTCTTAGGATCCATACCTGCCCGTGGTGTAGGCAGCAGAGGTGGTTTGTTGGAGCCGGAAGGGCGAGAAGAAGGTGGAAACCCATGCAACTTGTAGCAACGTTGAATGGTATGCCCTTGCATTCCACAGTGAGCACAGACAGGACGGTGCTTAGAAGCAGGGTTCATCGAAGATCTTCCCCGAGAAAACGGGGAGACAGAAGCTTGAAATACCACCGAATCAGAAGACGGTGGACGAGCTATGCGTTGGTGCTCCTCTTGGGAAATGAGGTTAAAAACCTTAGAAATGCTTGGCAGGGGCTCCAACATGAGGATTTGGCGACGGGCTGGATAGTACGACTCGTTCAGTTTCATCAGAAACTGAACAACCTTGCGTCGCTCGACTAGATCCATGAACTTGACATTAGCTTGGCAGGTACAGCCACCGCACGAACATACAGGGTACGGCTCGTAGTTCTTAAGTTCTTCCCATAATGTGTTCAGCTTGGTGAAGAAAGTGTTGAGATCTAACGCACCTTGTTGTAGACTTTCAATCTTTTGCTCAACATTGAAAATCTTTGAGACATTCTTCTGCTTGAACCGAGTCTCCAAAGTCTTCCAAATCACATCAGCTTCATCAAGGTAGAGGATCTGACTGGCTATTTCGGAAGAAACAGAATGAGAGAGCCAAGTGGAGACGAGCGCGTTGCAACGAGACCAAGCCCCAGAATCTGGGTGATCTTCTGAAGGCTTAGGAACAGTACCGAAGATGAAACCCACTTTGTTCTTTGTGATTAGAGCTTTGATAACAGAGCGGGACCAAAGGTTGTAGTTTGATTCGCCAAGGAGTTTTTCAGAAACAAGAGTAAAACTCGACGAATCTGCGGCATGAAGAAAGAGGGGGTTTGAATACGGGTCAGGGTTGAGAGGAGCAGAAGAATGGGTGACAGTGTTTGAAGAAGAATCTGGGGTTGAAAAAGGAGATTGATGAACAGGAGGTTGAGAGGGTGGGATTCCAGATGTAGCGGAAGTCGGGGAAGGAGAATTATCAGCCATGGTAGGTTACGAAAAAGGATAAAGAAGCTGAAGAACAGGTGAAAAAGGGGATGAACAATGGAAAAAAAATTATAGCTCTGATACCATTTCGCTGTTTCACAGAAGAACAATTTTTCCAGAAAACTTTACGGAGAGAGAGAACTTGAAGATAACTTTCAGTATATTCTCAATAATCTTTCTTACTTGTAAAGCGTTCTATACATTCTCTTATATACAACTTGTTCAAGAGGTAAAGTTGCCCTATACAGTGGTCCCAACATAAAGGCTAAAAAGTACATCCTAGTATAGATCAAAAACGCCCTTGCACTTGTACGTAGTATGAAGCAGAGATGTGTCGAGTAATATCCTGGCAACAAGTGCAGAGGTGGTTATATGGCAGATAAGATGCGTCATCTGTCTGGAGCACTACGCTGTCGGCGACGAGCTTCGTCTTCTTCCTCGATGCGGTCACTGCTTCCACTCTTCCTGCGTCGACCAGTGGTTCCGGACTCGCCCTTCTTGCCCTTCCTGTCGTCTGGTCCCTTTCTGATGTCATCCTCTGAATTATTGATTTAGTTTTTTTTTTTGGTTTTGTTTTGTGATATGTTTAAATAAGTCAAAACTCAGAAGAAGTGTTATTGTGAATGTGAATTAGATTATTATTATTATTATCATCATCATCATCATTATTATTATTGAAACATGCCCACTGACAAGAATCGCTAATATATACCATTTTTAACGATATAATATAAAGTCAAGTTAAAAGTATTATAATTTATAAACAAAATAATAATAAAAAAAAAACGCACTGCAAATCCCGAGCATAAGATTAACAAGAAAAAGAAAACGTATAATTAAAAAAGATGCGATTAATCGAATCTCGAAAAAGTTATAAAAAAAAGGAAGAAAAAATCGAACGTCTACCACTAACACTCCCTTATAAATATCTCAGGAAAAAAAAAAAATCTGCCTTCGATCCTTCTCCTTCTCCTGCTTTCTAGATCAGGGAACCGCCATGTCTACAATCACCATAGAGCCTTTTCTACACCATTGTTGTCGTCGACAGAGCCCTAGAATCTCTCGTGGAGCCCGGGATTTTCGGCCATGCTCGCTGAGTCTGCGTGGTTGTTTCACTTCGAAGACGCTCCTCTCTAATGGAAGAAGCATCGCCGCCGGTGCAGGAGCCAGAGACAGAGCCGGAGCCTTCACGAGCTTTGGTCTCCGTAGCTTGAAGCGTTGGAGGTTCGTGACGATCCAAGCTAGCTCAACCGATGCTGCTGTCATGGAAACTTCGGATGATGTCGTCTTCAAGGAAACTTTCCCAATCAAGCGAATTGAGAAGGTCTCTCCTGATCTTCGATCAACATGCTTGAATTATATCACTGTTGGAGTTGGGAAAAGAAATTGAAAATTCAATTTTGTTGAATCTGTATTCATGTTGCTGTTGCTTGGCTTGATCCAATTTGGTTGATGTAAACTGATTTGTGGAATGCGCGTTAGACACTTGGGATCGAACTGTGATCATGTGCTTTTACTGGTTTTATATGCGCAGTTGTGTCTAATAAAGAGATGGTCTTATTTCGTGTGGAATGATAGGTGGAAGGAAAGATTTATGTTAGATTGACTCAGGTGAAGGGAAACAATTGGCAGCTCAGTGTAGGATGTAATCTTGCTGGAAAATGGATCATTCATTGGGGAGTTTCATATGCGGGTGATATCGGCAGGTTCTTCCCCTTGTGGCATTTCCTTTCCTTTGGGACTCTCCTGATTATATTATTTGGGAAAAAGGGTACATAATTAGACAATGGATTGATGATAGCTTTGTGTTCTAATCTTTGGAATTCGACAGCGAATGGGACCAACCTCCGGAAGATATGAGACCGCCCGGTTCTGTTGCTATCAAGGTACGATTAGGCCATCTTCCCTTGGGTTATTAACCAATTTTTATTTTGACGGTATTTAACACCTTTGCACTTGATCAGGACTATGCCATCGAGACACCCTTGAAGAAGTCATCAGAAGGAGATCCATTTCATGAAGTCAAAATCGATCTGAATCTCAAAAGCTCAATAGCAGCTCTTAATTTTGTGTTGAAGGTTTTGATGCCGAATCCTTGGTAGCAAAGTGACCTATTCATTCACCTTTATGTATGCATTTATTTGTGAGTATTCTTTTCCAGGATGAAGAGACTGGAGTTTGGTATCAGCACAGAGGAAGAGATTTTAAGGTTCCTCTTCTGGACTATGTTGATGACGACGGCAATGTGATTGGAGCAAAGAGAGGCTTCGGTATATGGCCAGGTTTCTGACTTAACTGTTTCATGGGATTATTTTGATGATATTTATCACTACAAGGCATTGTTCTAACAGCAGTCTAAATTTTCCTTTCTTATGCATAATATTTTTAAATCCTTGTGTTTATGACAATGTTCATCCTCGCTGGTTATCAATGAATTATCCAAGTTAAACTGACCAAGTGATTCAATGGTGATTTGATTCTATAACTTACCTGCTTCCTCCTCAATCCCTAGGCGCCCTTGGGCAGCTCTCAAGCATCCTTCTCAAATCAGATGAACTGCATACTAAAGATCAAGATAGCAGCAAGGAATCAGCTGGTTTTGGACAAGAAAAGAAAGGCCTCGAAGGGTTTTATGAGGAGATCCTTATTACTAAAGAAGTTGCAGTTGTTAACTCAGTCAGTGTCATTGTGAAAAAATGCCCCAAGACATCTAAAAATATGGTACATTTGGAAACTGATACACCCGGTGATGTTATTGTCCATTGGGGAGTTAACAAAGCTGGCAGTAGAAACTGGGAAATTCCAGCTGAACCATACCCAGAAGAGACATCTTTGTTTAAGAACAAAGCATTAAGGACTCGCTTACGGGTAAGAGTCGAACTGCATTTGTCAATGAGAACTGGTCGTTAGTTGTATTTTTAATTGTGAATAGGGTGGTGATCCCTTCTTTACTATCTTTCTAGTTACAGTTTCTTAAAATTCAGAATTAGTGAGTATTTGTTATCTTTAAGGTAGTTTAAGACATCCTGTTAGTTATGTATTTTTTTTTATCATGTTGCTGCTTCCATAGCTCTGTTACTGCTTCCAGGTGTTTTGGTGTACACCTCTCTTTGATAATTGCACATGCTGAGAACAAAGATTCTGAGCTTTTAGATTTTTACCTTACTTTTTTTCTTTAACTATTTGTTGCTTTGCTGTGGTGAAATCATTTAAGTATTGTTTGCTTGTGAATGTTCTTGCAGCCAAAGGATGATGGAAGTGGATCTTATGGATTTTTCCATTTGGATGAGAAGCTCGCAGGGTTATCTTTTGTTCTCAAGTTAAATGAAAATACTTGGCTGAATGATAAGGGCGATGACTTCTATGTCCCTTTCATTACTTCAAGTAGTTTGCCTGTTGAAACTGAAGCTGCTCAAGTGAGTAGAACCACAACAGAAGTTGATCAAGAAGGTTCCCAGAGCGCTTACACTAAGGAAATCATCAATGAAATAAGGAACTTGGTGAGTGACATCTCCTCACAAAAGAATCAGAAGACAAAGACAAAAGAAGCACAAGAGAACATTCTGCAAGAGATTGAGAAACTAGCTGCTGAGGCATACAGTATATTTAGAAGCACTGTTCCAACATTTACAGAGGAGAGTATTTCAGAAGTAAAGGCTGAGAAGCCTCAGGTCAAAATATCCTCTGGAACAGGCACAGGATATGAGATATTGTGCCAAGGATTTAACTGGGAGTCCCACAAATCGGGAAGATGGTACATGGAATTGAAAGATAAAGCCGATGAGATAGCTTCACTTGGATTTACCATTGTGTGGTTACCTCCTCCAACAGAATCTGTGTCACCTGAAGGATACATGCCTAAAGACCTGTATAATTTGAACTCAAGGTATTCTCGTAATTATGATATCACAGTTGTTGACTTTTGCTGTTAGAGTAGACTCTTTTATACGCAGAGGTGCTTAAATTTCTTCCGTGAATCTAGGGTTATCATTCTTCAAGTGGAAATAAGCTGAACACTGTGGTTTGAGGCTATTTCCATTGTGTTGTATTTATGATCGGTAGAAGATAAAATAATGTTTTCAGATGTTTTGGGAAACTAACATTATTATGTCCTGTATAGATGATGCTATGGCAGTGGTCCCGTTATTTATGGCTGAAAAGAACGGATTTTTTAACCCCCACTTTTCTGGTGTAAACTATCAGATATGGAACTATTGATGAGCTGAAAGATCTCGTGACGAGATATCACGAGGTTGGGATCAAAGTTCTTGGTGATGTTGTCTTGAATCATCGATGTGCGCATTACAAGAATGGAAATGGCATTTGGAATCTATTCGGTGGGCGTCTGAATTGGGATGATAGGGCAATAGTTGCAGATGACACTCACTTTCAGGTATCTTTTGAAAGATTTACATGAAAACAGGCTTTAGAGGTTATAGTGACAGATTCTTGGAAAGGACATGTTTCCTGTTGGGTATATGTTGGCATATTTTCTGCTTATAACTGTGGGCCTATTGGTTTATATGATCTCTATTACACTTCATGATGCAATTAACTATCTAATTCATACAGGGTAGGGGAAACAAGAGCAGTGGTGATAATTTCCACGCTGCTCCAAACATAGATCACTCACAGGAGTTTGTTAGGAAGGACCTCAAGGAATGGTTAAACTGGCTCAGGTTAGAGCTCCATCTCTTCCTTTTATCGATCAGCTGATGACTGTTGTCTGATCTCACTCTGCTATTTCCATGAATTATTGTTTCTTAGCCCTTGATAATCTATATACGTCCCAAACAGACCAGATTCTCTGCTAACAAATTAATCATTTTTCACTTATACATATGCCAGTCCCTATCTATTTTTTCTGTATAGTTGTATCCACTGTTTTTCAATTAAAAGAAAAAGGGATTTATTTGTGTGCAGAGAAGAAGTAGGGTATGATGGGTGGAGGCTTGATTTTGTAAGAGGATTTTGGGGAGGTTATGTGAAGGACTATTTGGAGTCAAGTGAGCCATACTTTGCTGTAGGTGAATATTGGGATTCTCTTAGTTACACGTACGGAGAAATGGACTACAATCAAGACGCTCATCGACAGAGGATTGTCGACTGGATTAACGCCACCAATGGAACTGCAGGCGCTTTCGATGTCACAACCAAAGGGATTCTTCACGCTGTATGTATATTTATATCTGTCTTAACAAACATTTTTTTCCCGGTGAATAAATATTTTAGATATCTGCAAGAATCTCTTGATGCATGGTTTTTATGGGTATATGATAGTAAAAGACACACATTATGGTGTAGGCACTTGACAGATGTGAATATTGGAGGCTCTCGGATGCGAGTGGAAAGCCTCCAGGGGTGGTTGGATGGTGGCCTTCTCGTGCTGTAACGTTCATTGAGAATCACGACACTGGTTCTACACAGGTTTGTTCTCGGGAATTTGGTATTTTTCAATCTGTTCAACATTTTTGTATTTGGATATTCATGAATATGAATATGTACACACACACACACTCACACATGGGTTTTTGTTGTTTCAGGGTCATTGGAGATTTCCAGGTGGGAAGGAAATGCAGGGATACGCATACATATTGACGCATCCGGGAACACCGGCAGTGTTCTTCGACCATATCTTCTCTAACTACCGTTCCGAAATTGCCCATCTTATCTCTCTCAGAAACCGCAACCAAATCAACTGTCGGAGCACTGTAAGTATCCGAACCTCAGCTTTAGCATCTGTAATAATAGTAGAGCCTGTTCCAGTGAAGATGCTTACTACTACTTTTTTTTCGATATATTTTGAATAATAATAATAAAAAAAGGTGAAAATAACAAAGGCGGAGAGGGATGTATACGCGGCCATAATAGACGAGAAGGTGGCGATGAAGATCGGGCCTGGTCATTACGAACCACCAAGTGGCCCTCAAAACTGGACTCATTCCATCCAAGGAAAAGACTTCAACGTCTGGGAATTGTCGTAAGTTCACCCCCCCCCCCCC